TTATGTCTTTTGCAGCAACATAGATGGAACTGAAGGCCATTATCTTAAGTGAAACATCTCAAACACTGCATGTTCTCACTTATAAGTGGGAACTTAATAATGTGTACATGTGGAAGCAGAGAATGGGGTGATGGACAATGGAGACTCAGAGGAGTTGGGGGAGTGGGAAGGAGGCAGATGATAGGAGGTTGCTTAGTGGGTACAAAGTGCTTTGCTCCAGTGATGGATGGATGCACGGAAGGCTCTAACTTCACCACAATGCAATATATAAATGTAGCAAAATTGCATTTTTACCTCATGAATATATATAAAAAATTAAAATAACTACATAATATCAGATGCATTAAGAAAAAGCAAAATAAAGCGATAGAGAATAGTAGGGAAAATTAAATATACTAATTCTAAACCATAGTTAAGGAGAAAACTACTAGCATCAAGTAAACTATAGCAAACATGATTAATATAGTGAAAGTGTAGTGTACAGTATACATTGTTGGTTATCCGTTATCCATTATCTATGCCCTCCCTCTTTCTTCCTATCAAAATGCTGATTTTGGTCATATATCCCTCTCTTTCCCATACAATCACATACTTTAGGGCAACAGTTCTTAACTAGTGGCAATTCTGCCCCCAAGGGACATTTGGTAATGTCTGGAGACATTTCTGACTGCTACGGTTTGGAGGGATGCTACTGGAATTTAGGACAGATGCTGGGACAAGGACATGAGTTCCAGGCCAAAAACCTATGTGTGATCTTTCAGGCTCGACCATAGGCAATTACAAAGGCTGTGCTTGACAGGCTTCATGAGGGAAAGCTGCCTTCCCCATATGGGATTTAGAACATAGCCAGTGCACTGCAGTCTCCAGAAAGAGTTGTAGCCAGGATTCAGGACCCCCCTGGGCTAGCCATGACCATATACCTAGGTGCATTCCTAGACCAGGTACCTCCATTCTGAGGCCTCCTTATTCAGGGCCTTGACAGAGATACTTTTCAGGTGTTTCTAAGGAGACCTACTTATTGGTGGGACAACTGACTGAGACACTCTTCTCCACACTTTTTTCTATCCTTAGCCCTTTTCCCTCTCCTGTCCCCAGCCCCTGAGGTCCATAAGATGACAGGAATCATTTGTTCATTGCTCCTCAGCAGTGAAACAATTTCCTCTGTGTGCACTGCATGCCGTCTGATTGACCTGTGCCTGTGTGCCTGGTTCACAGGGGGAAAAAATGGAACAGTGATGAGCTGGCACTACTTTTCTCTTTAGTCTCTTGCTCATAACATTATTACAGTAAGTGAATGAAGACTTGCTACTTTCACTTTGGCCCACTGTCTTAGCTGACTATCTCAACACCTCACAGCTAGGCACAGAGATGCTGCTAAACACACTGCAATGCACAGAACAGCCTCCCACAATGTAGAATTATCTGGTCCAAAATGTCAACAGTGGTGAGGCTTCTGGACTCGATCCCATTACCAGCTCTAGGGTCTATAAGTTCATGGGATTCTTCTGGAGAATGTTATTTATCTAGAGGTGAACACAGGACCAAATAAGTTGGCCAAATTACACTAAAGTGGATGACTTAATATTCCATGATTGGGGTAGAATTTCCCTCAATTTCTGTTATGCTGGACATGAACAAAGTAGTATGTAGTCCTGATTGCCACTGATGGTCACCTTACAAACATGAGGGGAAATAACTTTGGGATAAAGTTTATACTATGCCAGAGACAGGGAGATAACTTCGGTTTTTGAAGATATATATTATGGCTGACAGAACTGTGGCTGGAGCCAAAGTCACCTTCGTACCTTCAGAAATGTCTAACAATAAATTTTCTTATTATTTAACCCAGTTTCAAGTGAAGTTTTCTCACTTGCAATAAAAAGTATTGTTACAGAAAGATAAAAAAATTTAAAAGCAATAAAAACAAAAAGCAAATTCTAAAAGCAAAGATATATACATATAAATAAATATGTATAAACAGACTATTAAAAGAATCTTAAAACTGAATCACAATGCAAAACTTTAATATACAGTATATTAAAATATCTAAAACAAAGTGACATAAATATCAAAAAATAAAAAGATGGGTATTAGGTAAATGCAAGCCAAAATAAACACAAGTCATAATCTTAATATCTGACAATTTAAACTACAGTGCAAAAAGCATCCAAGCATTTTTATAATGGTAAAAGTAAAACCTACAATGAAAATCAGTCATGAATTTATATAAACCAGGAAATATAGCCACATATTATATAGAAAAAGAGTAAAGTAAAAACCACAGATAATAAAAGGAGAAATTGACAGAAATCTCTAAGAGAAATTTTCTCTCTTTCAACCCCTGACAATGCACATGGACCAAGGGAAGGAGTTTATAAAAAAAAAAAGTCTCAAAAATATATTTAGGGAAGGAGCTATAATTTATGTAAATTATATAGTATACAATAAATAGATTTTATATAGTGCTGTTCTCTAAAAATAGAAACTAGATCTTTCACAAAAATTGACCCATATAAAGGAAACTTTACATGGTAATATTTTGGTACTCATGATTCTGTACAAAGAGCGAGCTGTTTCTGCTTGGACTCCTATCACAAGTGACTCCTTTAGAAGGAGTGTAAAAACTGTTCCCATAGGAAGCATTCTACAGTTTGTGACAGCTCCTGGTACAGGGAAAGGGAATTAGAGAGGGCCTAAAACTGCTGGTCCACTCTAATAGAAGAGATCTGAACCCTGACTAAATAAGAATAATACAGGCAATCTACAGATAATAAGACAAGCGTAATAAGAGAGATAATAGACAAGGATAAAATGATGTACAGTTGATAAACACTATATGCTATATGTGAAACAAACTCTTATAAACTCACAAAGACTGAGAACTTTTTATCAAAGTATGAACACAGAAGTGAAATCTTAGTTCAAACTGGCATGAAACTAGATAACAGTGGACATGTAGGTCAGACAGAGTCAACAGAACCTGAAAAAATATCTGGGTGACCCTGATCAAAACAGAAACTTTTCCCTTGGCTAATGAGTTTTAATTAGATATTTCTTGAAGAACTTTAACTTTTCTCTCATAATTGCAATCTATTGCCCTTGTGCTCTATGTATATACATTGCCATATATTTCTGTCATTTTACTGTCTCCCTTCTACCTCTATTTCCTGTTGAGAGGAAACATGACATAAGGTGTTTATTAGCACATTCTTCTTCTGAACCCAAGACTGCTCTAATATCCCCCTAAATTTGCTAGGAGTTGAGAATGGACTATGTAACTCATTAAAATCAGGGCAGGAGAATCTGCCGGCACTAGACTTTAAGGGCAAAGTTAGGTGTGAGCTTAGATGTAGGGTTTTTAAGGGTGAAGGGATAGAATAATATATTATGAAGATTAATATTATCAGGCTGACTAGACTGTTACTCAAGATGGCTTTCTTACCTTTTTCGGCTGGAGGATTGGGCTATAAGAAATATCTTCTGATATTTAAGACTAGAAAACCCCCATCTTCTGAGGAAAGAATCAAGTGAAAAAGATGTTTCAGTCAAATTTCCACTAAATAGTGATAACTATAATTCTTGCTCTGATACAGTAGACTTTTTGTTTTGGAAAATGATTCTAAGATTCTTGCAAATAAACTTTCTAGTCTACACAGCAACACTACTGAGTTTGGTGACTACAGTGAAGTAATAAGTCTTGTATAATAATGGAAAAAGTGAGCTGTACTGTACTTTCTAGTTTGGAAAGCAATATATTGCCTTGTGTATGGCCAATAACAAATTGTACCTAAGATAAGTACTATTTAATATAAAAGTAGTTTTCCTCATTATTTCTGCTTTGAAAACTAAAAGAAAAGGGATAAAGAAAAGAAAAAATAATTTACCACTTAAGTCACTCTCTGATTCTGGAAATAACATTTTAATTCAGTCCCACTTAAAAAATAAAAGTAGTTTCCTTACCTCCACAATGAGCACATTAACTACATTTTCACATACAGAAAACTTAGGTACATTCAACTGCTTATAAGACATGTCTCCATATAACACATTTACATTCATGTGAAGTATATGAACTTACTTAATTGTATATATTATGTGTGACTTTAGCATCTGGTACCTTTTAAAACAACTAACACGTTATACGCTTATTTTCTAAAAGTTAATTCATACATGACGATTAAAGATTAGGAGAGTCTCTTGTAAAGAACTACAATAGTTGTATTCATACTATGAGAATGCAATAATTTTTCTAAACATAAGTTTTAAGCTAAAGCTTTAGCAATTTAAGTTATGTAACTAGCAATGCATGGAATTCTTAGCGGGTTGCACTGTTTGGATTACAGTGTAAGTAAGTCATTTCAAGTGGTTCAAAATTACTTGTGCATCCAGGGAAAAAAAGCACCAATAATTTTTTTTTTTTCACATCATAGATGAAATCACAACACAATGATCTCAATTTCCTTTCAAAATCTAATCATTTATAGAGCATTTATTTCAAATGCTCTTTTACTTTTCTTAGTGAGATCAACTGATAACTGGAGATAAGAATGGAAATGGTAAAAACAGATGCTATACATAATACCTATTAACTTAACAGAATTGAAATTTCTTCTAATATTGATGGTTTCCATTTTTGAACTGAGTTCCTCAGATCTAAAAAAGGACTCTGAAAATAAGTGTAACATTTATAAACTTGTCAACTATATCTATTAAAAAGAAACTCAAAGGGTGCCTTTCTTGCCAATATATGAAGCAAAAATTTTCCTGATGAACAAAGCACCTCTTATGGTAAGGAAATATAAAAAGAAAATATTTTCTGCAAATTAATATACAAATTTATGTGCATAAACGTGTAGTTCTCCCAGCTGTATACGTAACATTTTTAAATAACGCACAATAAAAGAAATTGAAAACACAGAATGAAAAAATAACCCATGTGCTAATATTCCAGTTATTAAATGTTGCAGCATATATGTCACTGTAACAATTGGGAAAAATTTTCTAATCTAAATGGTTAATGTAATTTCTTTGGAAATATACTTTTTAAAAAGTCTCCAATATATAATCTTGACTGTCAAGTTTCAAACCAAGCTAAAGGTTTCTACACCTAAGATGCAATTCCATGAAAACAAAAATGTATACAGAGGCTACCTCATCAAACTCTGCAGTGCAGAGTATTACTGGTGTGACTTTGGTACAGGACAGCTGGGGTTTTATGTTCCTTTAATTTACCACAGGCAAATGGTAAACATCTCATCAACGACAATTGACCTTTATCACCGTAAGTTTGGCTGCTCATAGAATGGTAATAATATTGTTTTAAACATTTCCAGATCATGACAAAAGTTCCTTACCTGACTATAAACAATCAATCCCCTAGATTTAAAAACATTTTTAAATGAATGCAGAGATGCATAAGGAGAAACACAAATTACTTGCTTTGACAGTTTTCAGCCAAAGTTTGTTTCATGTCTTTTTCTACTGAACATGTTATTTTTATAAGAAGTTCCAGCTTCTGCTCAGATTTCATTTCTTTTTCCCAGTGTTTTTTTTGTGTTCATGCATTTCTGTTTTGCTAGTTATGTTCTTTTTCCGAGATGAGGTATTAGAAACAACTGCACCAGAAGGTCCACTTGTAGCTATACAAAACAAACAAAGAAACCAACAAACTATTGCTTAGATTTACACAAGCAATCCAAGTTCAAATGATACTGCTGAGTGACAAGATAATTCTTATTATACTTGTGATGTCAATGATACATTATGAACATTTAATATGAGATTTTTAGCTTTTTACTTTTTAGAATTCAACAAAGATATAGAAAAGTAATGATAAATAGCCTGTGTTCACAACATCTCTCATTTCGCTCTACATTCTTCCTAGAAAACTAATTCATTTCCATAATTTTTAACTACCATCCATTGTGCTAATGATTTTCAAATTTATACTTTTGGCCTGGGCCTTTTCACTTAGCTCAAGAGATGTATATCCAACTGCCTACTGGACCTCTGTTTATAGATATCTGACAAAAACATATACTTACCATGCTTAAAACCGAACTCATCATAAAACCTATAGCATTGATTTCCTCCTATATCTTCTATGAACACTAGAAGCATTCTTGACTTGGGAATTACCCTTTTGTATTTGGAAAGATATTCTACGTGTAGTTACACTTCCAATATGGATGAGTAAGCTCCTGTCACACAAATCTTCCTGAAGACAGCAATTTTACACTCTGCACTAAATATGAGGAACAACTACTTAAAGACACTGAATAGTGAACAAAAGCAGGCAGTTACTGGAGAAGGATCAACTCTCAAAAAAAAGAGAACATGGGGTAAGTCTCTCCTTCTTCACAGCTTTTATCCTGATGTCAGGCCCCAAGCTGCACTATGTAGAATGGCAAAAATTCTAACATAAAACCCAATCTTACTAGCATGAAGAACCAGAAGATAAGTATTGGGGCAACTACAGCTACTGGAAAGTGAAGTGGGAAATCCGAGAAAGGATGACCCTATATTCTATGTATACACCATGATCAAATCTATGGCATGAGCAGAGTAATCTCCAAGCAGTAGCCTGGCTAAAGCTAAAAGAATTAAACTGAAATCTGAGCTGCCAGTCACTTCAAGGGACATAGTTTTGCAATCTTAGTGCAGCCAAAGTTAACTCTTTGCTTTAAAAACAAATAAAACAATATTCTTTAGAGGAATATAACAGAAATAACAGAATCCAGATTTTACAATGTATCATTCATAATGTGTAGGATAAAATCCAAAATTTCTCAATATACTAAAAACAGGTAAACATCTTTCTTGCTGAGAATGGATAGATTGACAGAGACCAATCCTGAGATAAGTCAGATTAACAGACAAGAATTTTAAAGCAGCAATTTCGACTGTGCTCTAGGACAAAGGAAAATATGGTTATAATGAAGAAAAAAATAGAAAATAAATGCAAAAAACTATAAAAAAGAATCAAGTAGAATGTCTAAATCTAAATAATAAATATCTGAAATAAAATATCTCAAATAAAAACTGGGTGGGTTTAATGACAGGATGGAGAGGATATGTAAAAGTAAGTATCAACCAGATCATTCAAAAAAAAGAAACAAAAAACCTAAGTATGCCACAAACTTCTGAAAACGAAAGATAAAGAGAAAATATTGAAAGTATGCTAAGAAAAATAACCCCTTGTATACACAGGAAAAATAATTCAAATTATCTAAGACTTCTTATCACAAACCAGAAGACAACTGAACAACATCATTAAAGTGCTGAAAGAAAAAACTTTCTACCCAGAATTCTCTATCCAGCAAAATTACTTGCAAGAATGAAGGCAAAACAAAGACATTTTTTAGACACGATAAAATGAGAATTTGTTGCCAACAGACCTGCAGTATAAGAAATGCTAAAAAGCCTCAGGCTGAAAGCAAATGAAACCAGATGGAAACACAGACTTCAAGGAAGGAAGTAAATGTATGGGAAAAAAATATACCATGCATACAGCACACAGTAAGCAAAAGAAAGCTGTAATAGCTATATTCACATTAGATACACTTTAAAACAAAATATTAATAGAAATCAGAGGGAAGTTTCATGATAAATGGGTCAGTACAATTAGGAAGGCCCAACAGTCAAATATGTGTGAACCTAACAAGAGAGCTCCAAAACACACAAAGCAAAAATTTATCAAATTAAAGAGAGAAATAGACAACTCCACAGTTGTGAATGAAACTGTTCTCTAAACAATCAAAAAAACAACCAAATCCCTTTTCTGTCTATACTTCTATCCCCCCCCAAAAAACCAGGAAAGACATAGAAGATCGGAACATTATTGACAATCTTGACCTAACGCATAATGATGAAACAGTATCCATGAGGATCAA